GCAACCCTGCTGCGAGGTTGCAAAATGTAGACGCGTAAAAAACATACCTTTGAGTGTGACAAAATGTAGACGGCGTCGTTTTCCAATTTTGTATGGGAAACAACAACACCACAGATTTTACGGTTAGAAAACGTCTTAAAATGTAGACGTCTACATTTTGAGACACTATTTGGAACGAACTGTGAACACCCCAAATATTATAAAAAATAACCCTTTTGACAGCGCTCTCACGAGAAAAATAGTTTCGTACAGTGTTGCCACACATGCGCTTTTCCTACCAAAACTGGTAGGCTTCCATTTCCATTTGGTAGGTTGGTAGGCTTTGAGTCCTTTCGAATTTGAAATATGACAGGTCGAGGTAAATACTTTGGGCCTGTAGATGTGTGATACGATTTAATTTTTGAAGTGAGAATTTTTTTATCAGGACAGGGTGATTTTTAGTTTTATGATATTAGAAACCGGCACTTCGCCAGACCTCTTTTCACTCAGAAACGGTTGCATGGATTTAGATGAAATATGACGCTTATAACTGTGACTAATAATACATTTTCACACTCGTTTTACAATATCGTAAAACTAAAGGCCAAAACACAATAGCGCAGTGGCAGTGGCAGTGACAGTTTTTAAAATCAGCTGTTACTGCTAATATTGGCAGTCAATGCCGCAGCAAACACAATACGGCGTTGTCAGTGACTGCTTTTTTTGACATTCCCTTTTGTTTGTTTACATTTTTGTTGTTGCCTTTTAGGCTTCAGTGACATCAACAGATGTTGGCTGCGTTTCATTTATGTCAAATTCAGCATGCGAAGTTTGCTGCGATGAAGGCAGTGGCAGTGAATTTAGAATTTGGGCTAAACTGAGCAGTACTGCTAGCTGCCACTGCTGTATTGTGAGTCGCTTCATTGGACACCACACTTTCTAAAAAACAGCTGATTTCGAAAAACTGCCGCTGCCACTGCCACTGCGTTATTGTATTTTGGGCTTAAGTTAAAACTACTTAGTAGAAGTCTGAAATGCGACTATGAATAGAAGTGAATTTTGAGTTGGTACTTAAATTAAAGTTGCAACTTTATTAGTTTCGACTTAGTGGCTGGACTATGAATACGCGCCATAGTAATTTTGCCTCATTTATCCAAAATTCAATTAACGCACATGGCTTGGATGCATTTATGCGCCGATGTGCACACTGTAAACGTCAACATAAAATGAGGTTGTTGTTTTTCTTTCGAATGCAATGTTCGCAAACCACGCCACAAACATGCTCACTGAAAATCAAAATTTTTGGATTTTTTGCGAACATGCTCCTGAACCGCCCCACAAACGACGAACATGCACCGCAAGCCGAGCATGCTCGCGAGCATGTTCGTCGTTTGTGGCCACTGTTATCCATGACTATGGGCCGGAAATTGATTTGCGGGAATCCCCTATTAAAGCGTAAAATTTAAATCTTGCCACAAGGAAAAATTTTACTATGACAAAGTTGATTATTGAGTGAAACTTAACGAGATCACAAAGTATTTGTAATTTCCGTGGAAATTTATTCTCAACTTTTTTATTGCTGATCGTGCGTGATAAATATCAATCATTCTTTTGTTTTAGTTAAAACTTAATACTATTTTACATCTGAAAAATGGCAAATCATCTCGGTGAAGTTATTGAACGCTATTTGAAAGCCAATCATACCGATGGGAGTACCAAGTGCTTAAAGTTTACATATACTGAGACATATTCATCAACGGATAATAGCCGAAAAATTGATGTAAATTATAAGATCGGACAAGTAAAAGAGGTTTCTTATTATTCAGGACAATCCAAATTCACGGCCGTTGTTAAGGAAAAAGTTTCAGATGGAAATGAATCCCTTGAATTGTTTATGTATTTGAGGGTAATGCCTGAAATGAAACGTATTTTGGAAGAATACAATAAGGTTTGGGAAGATACCAAACAGAAATTTGGTGCAAAGTAAGTTGAAAGCAAGACTTTATGTATGCACGTATGTGCATGAATTAATTTTTTGGAGTTTTTTTTGTGTATATCATTAAAAAAATCTCCCTTCCAGTTATATTTATTCTGAGGAGAACTTTTTATTTTTGGAGTATTTACAAAGTCAAAATTATCAGCGCATCAGTGACTTGAGTCTGCCAATCCATGTTGCGAAAGCTACCTTACGAAAACTGGCCCAATTTCATGCTTCTTCTTTGGTATATTTGAAAAAGGTAAAGGCTCCGTTATGCATACTTGGCATGGCTTGAGAGCTGTCACATAAGAAATCTGTTAAATGAGCCTCGCGTGTAATCGGTTATCGAACGCACAGCACTACATACGTAGAAGTCTGTTGGTTTTTGATTTCTACGTAAAAATGGTATAGCAGTGCATGCAATGCCAAGTATGCATAACAGAGCCTTATATGTATATGTACGTACATCTATATATATGCATGCGTATGTATATTAGGGTGCATCAATCTGCATAATAAAAAGGCGTTACTGTTTTCCATCGGAATTATATAATTTATTATATTTAAAGACTGCTTCAAATTATTTCGGAAAAATATTAAGATTTACATGAGCTGGACCCATTTGAAAATGTTTCCAATAATTTTGTTTTTAATAAATAGAATAAAATTAGTTTTTAAAAAACCGTTTACTTAAAAATCACCTAAGATGGTATAAGAGTTTAAACTTAAAAGGTCTGCATAAAAATGTTTAAAAATTTTATCAACGAAAACAAAATAATTACGTTTTTTGAAGCTATTTTCAAATCGGTCCAGCTCACGTATGTAAATCTTAATGTTTTTCCGTGGGTCTTAAAATTTAATATATTTAATAATTCCTGTGAAAACCCCGCATCTTTTTTTTATAGATGCAGCCTTATGTATATCGTCGTTTAAGGTCAAAACCGCGTTGCTTAAATTATTTTCTAGAGAGTAAAAACACTCATATTTCAAAATGGTTCTCTTTTTTATAAAGCAATCGCATTTCTGGCTAGTATATTTCAGGACGAATGGATAAGGATTGAGCCAAGAGCTTGTGTGAGCAAATCCAATTTTGGCAGCAAATGTCAGTTACGCGGTTTTGCAGAATAACGATACGCAGTTTAGTACTTTAAACGACGATATGCATTAGGGCGACCACATTTTTTTTGACTACTTACGCGCTATTTTTTTATGGTATATTTTTTCGACTATGCGCGTATAGCACAGAGGGATTCTGTGTGTAATTCTAAGCAAATTTGCCGAAGAAATCATGAGTCTAAAATCAATTCGGAGTTTGCCAAATTGCGGAAATAGGTTTCGAAGAAAATGAGAAAATTTTCACTGTGGTGCCCCCTGGCGGAAGTTTTAAGAAAAAAATTGCAGAAATGGATTCCTCATACCAAAAAAACCCTGATAGCATGTTTTTAATATACTATTTTAGCACTTCTTTGTAGCACTACGGCAAAATGCTAAGAAACCTTTTTTCGCAATTTGGCTAACTCCAAATTGATTTTAGACCCACGGTTTCTTCGGCAAATTTTCTTAATGTTTGCATTTATATATGTACATATGTATGTACATCGTACATATCGAGCCCTAAGCGACAAAAATACGTAAGCGACATTTCTTTTTGATGCAGAAATGTGCATCAAAAATAAAATTTTGAAAAAAAATTTCGCTTACATCTTTTTGGCGGTTAAGGCTCGATATGTATGTATGTAGGTATATTTTTTTTTAGTTAATATCTATTTCTTTCTTATGAAAGTGCCCTGCTGATGATGTAATACCAAAGGTTCCGCTATTATTGGCTAACGATGAGATTGAAAGACGCTTGTACGCTGCCATTAAGATTATAGAAGGATATTGGCCCGAATTTAAAGATATAACTACCAAACTACGCAGTTATGTGGAAACAATTAATAAGAGCATTACTGGTTTGATGGCCAACAAACTTTCCCAATATAAAATCATTGCACTTGGTGAACCGTCCATTAAAAACATGCTCGTTGAAACAATACAACAATACAATAATGTCAGAATTCTTGATGCAAATGTAGTATTTGTAAGCATATTTAGTGAATATGAACATATGTATATGTACATATATACATATTTATTTAGATATATACGTATCTACACCAGGGTTGGGCACGCTGCACTGAATTTTTAATGCACTGAGCAGTTCATTAACACTATTCGTGCAGTGGTAGTGAAATTTGAAATGAATTACCACTAGAGGAAATGCATTTCACTACCACTATATAGTTAGTGGCTATACATTTTTGTACAAAGCTGTTGTTAGGAAATGGGTATTAAAATCAAAGATTGCCAAATATTTCAAAATTTGTAAATCAGTGTAATTAGTCAGTGATGGTGAAATTTTCGTTCCCTTACCGATAACTAGATAGTGATAGTAAAAAAGCTATTTCACTATCACTGTGTAGTGCTAGTGAAATTTGAAATGCACTACCACTAACCATATAGTGCACTACCACTAAAGCCTAGTATGTAGTAGTGAAAATTAGCGCAGCGCGCCCAACACTGATCTACACACTCCCACATTTGATTTATATTTGTTTTATTTACTATTTTCTACAGAATAACTTTAAAAATTGCTTCGTTGGATACTGCGGCTATGACTTGAATTTCTTCTTTTTCGCAAATTTGACGTTAGATATGTTGACATCCCATCGTTATGAACTACTTCATTACTATCATGAGCATTTTGCTGCTACATTAAAAAGTTTAAATGAATCCTCCATTCCCAGTTGGGTAACCATTCTCCAAGAAGTACGAGAGTTTGAGTTTATCGGTATTTACGCATTACTTTGCGAAATGCCTATTTATAATTCAGAATACAATTTTCAAAATTGCTGCACATTGGAGTCCGAAAATTCGAATTTTGCGCCAATTTCATTTGAACAACAATATGAAATTCTTTTCAACAGCGACCGCGTAAAGACGTTATTAAAATATGGGCTGGATCGCTTTTATGAGCTTCATATGTGGGACAAAACTAACTAACCAAATCGAACTAACCAATTAAGTATAGTAATAAAAAAACATAAATTCATATATGTACATTTATGCCCATGTTAATGTGTGAACGCGTAAGTACGCATACGAATTTTTGGAAATGGTTTTAAGTTTTTAACTAAAGAAAAAAATATGAATTATTCATTTAAAACTAAATTTTTAATTTTTACAGTGATATGGCCAAGCAAATCTTATCACAACTTTAGGTAAATACAATTTTTAAAATCAATAAAAAAAATTATTTTTCTCCTAAATATAGTACACACTCTATGAGGTGGGTTTTATCGAAGGCTGAGGTAGCTCAGCCGCTCCAGGGTTGAGTGGAGGTCCCACTAACCCCCACTGAATAAAATAAACACAGTAGTTAAATATAGCGAACACAACCACACACACACGCGGCCGTTCGGCCAGGCTGCCGGTACCCTGACGTCCACGAAGAGAGGGGAGAGAGAGAGCGANTGTATGTATGCATGTAGATCTGTATGTATGTATATAAATATGTAGCGTATGTATGGCTGGATGTGGATATGTATGTACGTATGTATGTACTTGTGGGTTTTATGTATGCATGTACGTATGTCTGTCAGTGTAGCGTAGGGGAGCTACGTTACAACTCTAACAAAAACTAAACAAATAAAAGTTTCAAGTTTTATACAAAATTTTCTAAAAATTCATCAAATTTTCATCAAAAATTCAAATTTTGTTATAAAAATTTTAATGAAAATTTTGAGTAGTTTTTTCCATATAACGCATGCTTTTTATGCGCAAGATCTTATGGTAAATAATTAAAAAAAAAAAAAAAACAATTTTTAGCTATTTCAAACTTGCACTTTACTGTACTAAAATTAAATGTGCCATTAAACTGGATACCCAAAATTTTCCCATAAATTTGGATTACAATGTTTACATTTTTGATGAAAATATCATGAATTTTTCTAAAATTTTATACAAAGCTTGAAACTTTTTTTTATATAGTTTTTGTTGCAGTGTGAACTATATTTAAAAAATAAGAATTTTTTACTAATTCACAATTGTACCTCATTTTATTCAAAAAGTGGTGATAAGGTTTGCATGGCCACAGGGCATATATGTATGTATGTATTTCCTTAGTATATAGGTATGTATATTTACAAAACGCAAGAATTTGTTCTCAATTCGGTAAAGTTTTCTTATATCACTTTAGTCTTAAGATTTTTCCGAGTATGTACTTATGTGGTTTGAATAGCGTAATAAATATTTGCTATTATTATTTCGAAAGTTTGCCTTTATATTTAAATATTTATCGTTAATAGAATGCATATCAAGGGGTATTGGCACCCTCTGGTATCGCTACTTTCTCTTGGCAGCTCCTTTTTTGGAATTTTTTTAATGAAATTATCGACACTGAACCGATACGAACTAAAAAGTATCGTATGTATTTGCATTTTCGTTTTTTTTCCGCAGAAATCAATTCACATGCAATTGTACACAGTTTTTTCGTTAATTTAAATACATACCATATATATAGATATGTACATTAGGGTGGTCCTTAAATGTAGGAAGCAAATTTTTACATCAGACACCCCAAGCCTCAACCCCTACTTCGATACTACTATAGTCGAAGATATCACATACAAATTTTAGGCCCAATTGGACTCGGTAAAGGCATGGCGCGTAGGGGTCAAAATTCAGATTACCCTATGAAGACGTCTTAAATGATGTGTCAAGACTAAGTTATGTTGACAGGTAAAGAGCGTCCAATAGTTTTCGTGTGTCAAGGGCCACTTAATATTCGGAATCCTATCGGCTGGAAGGATTCACCTCGGCCGCAGGGTTGCCACTTTTTAAATTATTAGCAAAATTTTTATAAAAAATTTGGGTTGGTAAAAATTTGAAATTTTAGTTCATTTTGGTAGATTTTTGTTCAAGCATTTGGTTTGAAAAACAAATAAAACTTTTCGTTCTCGCTTTATTTTTCGTAGTTATCTTTATATTATTACAATTTTTTTTTAGTCTATTGCACACTTTTTATATACACACACATCTTTACCTTATTTCACAAAGGCCCTAACCAGCAATTTTTTTTATTTTATAGGAGAAGCAAAAAAACATTATAAAAATAATATTAAAAAACGGGAGGGCTTTTTAAAAAGTTTAAAATTTTTATTCAAAGTGTACTATTTTAATACATCCAACCAAAATCTGCGAAAAAACTGTTGGTTAGGGCATTTGTGAATTAAGGTAACGATGTGTATGTGCCAACATATCGTGCTCTATTCAAAACTCATTTTACTAAAATCCTACGCTTATGATTGCCTGAATATTTTAAATGATTCTTTAAATAAGAAGAAAAAATGGACAGGACACTATGATTGTTCGCAAAAAAACAAAAAAAAAAAACAACGCCAGCTTTTATAAATGCCAATTTGTTCAATGAAAAAAATCAGCAGGATTTTAGGTTTTAAATTCCATGGGCTAAGTAAAAGGTCGAAATTTAGACGAAAATGTTTGGAATTTGTTTTAATCTAGACAGCTTGAATGCTTGATTTTTATACAAAAATGGAGCAAAAAAATAGCAAAAAATTTTACTTGAAAAACATTGTGAATATTAAAGAAATTACCAATCTGTTTTTTGAGTAATTGTAATTGTCTATAATAACTCCAGTTAAAGTTTCATTGTTGCCTTTAGTTTTATCTCTGCCGTTAATATGATCTCAAATACCATGTATATATAGCTATAGTTTTTATTAAAATACCTAAAAAATATATGGGTAGATATTTTTCTGATTTGGTAATTGAGGTATTCACAGCGGTGTCACATGTGTCGTATTGTTGTATGTAGTAAACTTTAAACGCCTAAAAAATATATTAAAGAGGTTCGAAAAGTACCATCAAAGTCATATTATGAATTTTTGCTGTGTTAAAAAATAGTTGGTTGTCGTTTCATGTCCTTCAAACATTTTTTTAAGCTTTTAAAGCCTACGACATACAACAACACGACACCGTTGTGAATCCCTCAAATGTTTTTGAAGTATGGTAAGTATTTTTTTGTTTTTTGTGAAAGGCAACCCTGCTTGGGCTGGAAACTGATTTCGGGGAGTTCCCTAATTGAGCATAAAATTTAAGTTTTGCCGCAAAAATCAATTTTACTACGACAAAGGAGATTCTTGGCCGAAACTTGTTCCTTGGTGACAACGTGGTTGATTTTACTTCCGTTTATCATATTTTTTACCAAAGTACCTACATATAATTGCTGTGGTTTTAACTGAAACTGAACTGAACACGTTAAAGTTTTATATATTTGTTTGCTTTTTAAACATTGATACAAAATGTCCAACAAACTTAGTGATGCCATTGGAAAATATCTCGAAGACGCATTCGGAAATGAGCAAACCGAGAGGTTACGGTTCAAATACTGTCTCGTAACTTCTTCAGTGGATAAGGGACGAGAAATTCATGTAACATATCAAATCGAAAAGAAAGGAGAGGATCCGGATCAATGCGGAACATGTATCTTGCCCGTCGTTTTAAAAGCAGAAAATTCAAATGCAAGCAATTGTATTGACTTTTCAATGCATTTGGTAGTTTTACCCAAGATGAAACAAATTTATGAAGATAATTTGGAGTGAGTATACAGTGTTTTTTTTTAACAAAGTAGGTATAATAGTTAATGACCTCTTCAGACGCTGCGGCAACTCCAGCTCGGACGCAAATCAAAGCCTTCTAAGGAAAGACGTGAATAATCCGGATAAATCGAGTAATTCGGATGATGATATGTATATACCACAGTTTAGCCTACAGTGAGTGGACATACATATATAGTTTTTTAAGCAACTTTTGTTTAAAAGTTAACCTCTTTTTAGATATAATTATTGCGACGATAACATCTTGGTGTTGGAGAATTTTACAAAATTTCAATGCGTTAAGAGAAGTGAAATGTGTTTCGACAAAGCAGAAGCAGTTATAAAAAAACTTGCGCAATTTCATGCCATATCGATGGTTTATTTAAAAGAGGTTATTTCTATTAATAAGTTCTCCATTATTTTGTAGCTATACTAATTTTTGTTTGTTACTTTACATATACTCAAGCATCCTGCTAATGGAATTGTTTTCCAAACTCCGCCATTGTTGGCTAAAGACGATGTAGAAAAACGCATGCATGCTGCCATTAAAGCTGTGGAGGAGATTTTCCCTCAGTTTGAGGAAATCTGTACAAAAATGCGCAAAAATGCGGATTCATTTCATCAACGCATTACTGATTTGCTGGAGAAAAGACGTTGTCAGTTCAAAGTGATCGCGCTTGGTGATTTATCAATGCAGAATATCATTTTTGATGGCAAATGTGGACGATATTCTTTGTTTGTAAGACAATTATTACATGTGTACCTACACACACATACATTTAGTTTTTTTCTAACAAAGATCCTTTTTTGCGCAAATTTTTATTAATAACTAATCGATTCAGTACTGCAGTTGTTGCTAATAAATTCTTTAGAATTTTAGTGGTTAGTCTACCGCGCAAAGGAATTTTTGTAAGATAAGGATGATACATATTGTAGCTTGGCGCGAAATACCTCGTATCTTGAATGATTTTTTTGATTTTGACATTTTTTCTATGCCACCTCATATGTGGTATTGCGCGCCAAGCAACGATATGTATGTGCATGTATGCTCAAACAATTTACTAAATTATACCTTTCTGCAGAAAAACTTCGAAAGCTGTTTTATTGGCAGTTGCGGTTACGACTTAAATTTCTTCTTTAACGCCTGCGTAAGCTTGAAAGTGTTAGCCTTGCATCGTTATGACTTACTTCGAGTCTACCATCAGCACCTGACTCAGATATTAAAATGTTTTGACGATTGCTTCGTTCCAAGTTTGCAAACAATTTTGGATGAAGTGCGGGATTTGGAATTGTTTGGTTTCTATGTATTGCTTTGCAAAATGCCTTTTTGCGATGAAGAAAGCGATTTTCGAAAAGGATATGTTATGGAAAAGTCGGTTGTCAAGACTTTCGCATTTGAAGAAGATTACGAAAGAGTACTCCATCAAGAGGACATTCAGGAGATATTAAAATATGGGCTTGACCGTTTCAACGATCTTCGTTTGTGGGACGACAACACAAATGATAATGTGATTAAGAAGGAAAAACAGGAAGATGCATATGGATTCGTTATGTTGGAAAGGCAAACTATTTAACAATGCAAAGTCTATCTACATAGATTGAATTTGAAATATCTTTGAATGCACGCATATGTATACCGTGAGTTTAGTTTGAAATGCATTATTTTTCTTTTAAAATAATTTGAAATGTTTTAGTTACCAAAGTTACAAGCCTTAAATGTTAAATGTTTTCTTTTTGTATGTTAGTTATGCGAAATAATGTTTATTTAGCGTTTAAATCGCTAGTGTTTGCACTGTTTCTTCTTCATGTAAATTAAATATTACAATAAAATTTATTTCTGAAGTGTTATTTAATATATTAACGGTTTTTTTTTTGTAATACGTAAATCTATTTTGCTGTTGTTTTTGTGGCGGCTACTTAACCCTACCTAGAATTGGGTCGTCCCTCAATCGTTTCCATCAAGATAATTTAATGTTCAAGAAAACGTGCTGTATCAGCGGGGCTGGGTTTAGGAGACAAGGTGTGGTTGGTGTCGTGAGCTAAATATTTAAATGCATAACATACTTTGGGGAGTCAAGTTTGGATAAGTAGGAGTTTGAGTTGCTACAATACCCCGACTAACATTTTCAGACTAGCGCAGAATAGCGCGAATCTCAGGCAGCTAAACCTCTTTTCTGCATTGGATGGTGATTGAACTCCGATGGTGGCATTTAGCGGGCGAAGGTTGGTTAAGTTGGTAGCCTCTCTGTCGTTAAGGGCTTGTTCGCACAACGTACGTAACCCCGAATCTCGTTCTTTAGTTGATAGAAATTGGTTCAGGCGTGTATTAGAGGAGCATCTGCTTGATAACAAACAACGGTTAAAAGCGTGCGTCGTCGATCTAAACAGGTAAATCGCTATCCATTCCGGCACGTAGAGCCAGATGACTTGAAAATTATTTGAAACAGGTGTATACCTTTAGTTGTTATCTTTTTCCCCCTTCCAGAGGCACTTTCTAAGCCATGAATTCAAAAAAATTGCTTTTAATTTGGTTGTTTGTTGAATTGTGTTTGCATTTATTTCGTTTTTGTCTCAATGTTTTTTTATTAATACATACATCTAAATACATTGTTTAAAATATACAAACATAGTATGTATGTTATTGCATACACGATAATTGGCTGCGAAACACTAGAGTTAAATAAAATACAGTAAAATAAAACAAAGCAAAAAATATTGTACTGTTAAGATGTGGCAGAGGCACAGCCACAAATGAGAAAGCGTACAAAGATGTTGCGCGCTTTGCCATTCATCTTGCACTTTGAAGTGTTAATTTTTATACATAAATATGCATGTACTGTACATAGATAGATAAGTGATTAATAAAGTTTTGACAAAATCAAGACGCTACTCAAACGGCAGTGTCGCTGATAAAAGCAACGTTTGAGTGGAGTGTGATTTCGGGTGCCTCAAATCGAAGTAACAATGTAGACTGATTTTGTTTCAAGCATGCCAGGCAAATATACATGGTATATAGTAGTTTAGCTTTTAAAAATGCAGGCAGCATGCACAGGCGATGCACAGGCGACAGGCAACTTAAAAGCTAATTGTTTTTGTTTGCTGCTAAGCACATAAATTTTGTATTTTCCAGTTTTATGGTTGGCTTAGCAGGTGTTTTTGCCTTTTTAGCGCACAAAAGTATACACTGGGTAGGTGCGATGAGTTACAGCAAGAATCCGTATAAATTGTTTTCTTAATTTTGTTTAAGAATAATATACAGTAGTTACCATAGCAGAAGGCATGAGTTTTGAACATAGAATAATTGAGTACACTCAAATTATAAACTAATTTTGAAATTATTTGTACTTCGTTTAAGGAATATAAGGAATATGTAGTGTAGGATAGTAGCTGTAAAAGGCAAATCGTATGAGAGGCATGGTTTAGAAGCAGTGAACAGCTTTACATCCTTTGAAACTTCGGCTTTTTCGCAAGCCAAATACTTTTGTGAAATTAGCGCTCTTTTGGGTTTACTAAAAAGCGGTAATTGTCACTAAAGCGCAAAATGTGAAGCCCTTTACACTGAAACCATGGCAGTCAGCGATAGATAATTGCATAAATTTTGAATGTTTGACCATGTTGGTGAATAGTAGTTGCTTGGCTACAAATAATACAGTTTTTAAAACGCCAAAAGCTTGAGTTGTTTTTTTTTTAATTTTTGCTGTGTTTGAGCTTCCTTACACATCACATTTTGGCGCTTTAAAAAGTGCATTATATTTTTTAAGAAATATTTGTTCATTTCTTAAATTACGAAAGTTCATTACTGTAACAATAGAAAAAACTTTACGTATGTATGTTTACAAAAATTCTTAACTAATAAAGTGTATGCGTATGCATGTAAATATTCAGTGTTCTTTCTATAAGAATGCAAGTGGTTATTTTTTTGTGTCTGACTGTTAATTTAGTTACGATGATTTGTTGTTTTTTCTTCTAAATGGGTCCAGCACTTTAGTACAACTTACAATAGAGGTAATCGCTTAAACTGAAAAAAGCCTCGAAATCCCCGTAAGACTGAAAACTTTGACTGAACTGTCAAAATTGGAAGGCAATATATTTTTTGACTTTCGGGGTTTTCAGTTATTCAAGGCTTATGTGGATCTCGCTTAGTTGTAAATAATTTCGATTTTTTTCAGTATAAAATTTAGTTAGTACTATGTGTGCTTCGATTTTTGTTCGTCCTACAATTGTTGAAAATCATAGATAATATTTCAATTAAATTTATAGTTCAATGTTTAAAATAAACTATTGGTTTTTAGTTGTGGAGTTAGTTTCTTGTTGTGGGTTTCTGAGCATTAATAGTTAAGTTAAAGGAAAATTTTAAAATAGCAAACAAGATTTGCTAAGCCAGTTTTTTCAAGTTCTTAAATTGCAATTTTTTATGTTCAACAATTGCTCACTTACGAATTATGGCATTTGCAAATAGTTCCAAAATTGCAAAAAAAAAATCTTACGCAACTAAATATGTATATACTAAAATATATATAATTATTTGTATGCAAGTAACTAATGCTACCGCTATAGACTAAAACTAGTTATACACATTTGTATGTATGCATGTACATATATAGTTAATCATATACTAACTACAATTTATAAATGTTTTTAGTGTTGAAATTTGCAACAATGCCGCATTAATTATTGCGCTGTAAATTTCGCTGCAGCGAAAAATGCGCGCTAATGCTATACGCATGTGTGCTATGGCTATGGCTGCTGCTGCTGCCCGAGCTGGTTCGTGCACGCTTGGCGGGTGAGACCTTTTTCGGCGTCTGGGCAAGGCGTTTGCGCTCCTTCATGTATTCTGCAAATAGAATTAAAAAGGTTTTTTAATAAAAAAATTTTAAGCAAAAGTGGTGCAAATGCATTTTGAAATGGAAATATAAAGCAAATGCGTTTTTTTTGTTATAAAATTTATTAAAAATCATTTTATACATCTGTAAATAGTACATCCTATGAGTGCACAAGTTATAGAAGACCAAAAAGGGCGCATTTTCGAGTTCATTAAACTCTGAACACCTAACTAAATACGATTTCCCTACAAACAAACAAGGAAGTACGTTCCCTAAGCCACTCAAATTATGCACTTAGCACCTTGTAAGACCGCAAAATACAAACAATCGTACAATAAGAAATTTCCGCACACACGTAGGAAACCAAAACAAACAATAGCGTCAACAAAGGCTACCTACTAAGCAGCATGGATAGTAATAAAAGCAAAAAAGGACACGCAGCACTTATGAACGAAAAATACTAACAAGAATTCGTAGTGCGTAAGTGGAATAAATACTAGTTTTCTCCAAAAAAATCACAGCAATAAGTAAAGTGCTGACTCTACAAAAAAAAAAAAATAAATAAATAAAAAATAATAGGTTTGTAAAGCGCATTAGAAAAGTAAACACACACACAATAAGTGACTACCGGAACGGAAGCCAAGCAGAAATTAGTGCAGCAGCAAAAGTCACAATGTGCATCCCTTAAGGACACGCAAGTAGGCAAAGCGAAAATTTGGCGATGGAGTTATTTGGACAAAAGGCCGACAGACACACAAGAAGTCAGGCAACGCAAGTAGGCAGGCATTTCATTCATTTACTCAATGTACACAAAATGCGTAAGAAACGCGTGTTGGCACGTGGCTGGCAGGCAGACGAGTAGGTAGGCTGCGATGTGCAATTCCTTGCCTTTCCAAAGGCGTAGCTGTCGTCAGTGAAGGTAGCACATAGATACACACGAGACGAGTGTAGCAAAGTAAAGCAAAGGCAGTATAGGAGGTAAGAAAAGGAAAGTGCTGAAGGTGCAAAGAAAGCAGTGCTCGTTAGGTAAAACATCAAAGGTATTCAAACAGCGGCGCTGATCGCTAAGTTGAACGGCTCAAGGCTGCGTTTGCTGGCAAGCGTAGAAGGCGTGGGACATAGGCGCCGGTAATTGAGACTTGTAATTGGTGATCAATTGCGGAATTTACTATTTTTGAATCGTTAGAAACACTTGCCGAATTTGTAATACAGCGTTAATTGCTTTGATCACTGCTAGATTGGCCAATTAGAGGAAAAGTGTTTGCAGCAAAGCGTTTGAACAATAATAAACAACAACAATAATCATTTTAGCATAAACATTTTGAGAAATTCACATTCAAGTGACTGCCGTAAATTCGAAAGAGTGGAAATTTCGAAGCTCAAAAAAGTTTAAATCTCGGAAATGTATTTTCAATTACATTCATAGTAACAAAACTTGTGTCGTACCATATTATGGTATTCAAGTGCGTAGCAAATAGCGACTTATGATTCTGAAGTGTGCGGTTTGGGGAATACAATAAGGTCACTAAATGTAAATCTAAATGTAACAAAAACTTTTTATATACATAAAGGCGTACGCATGCATCATCCACAATGCACTACAAAACATTTACTCGAGCGCATATGCTCAAGTGGCCCACAAAAATGCTCGAGGCGCAAGAGCAGTGAATCAGAAAAAAAAAATTACGAAAAAAATGAATATTAAGTATTGTTGAAGCAAATAATTCTTTATATACAAACGTATGGATTGGGATGTGCTGCGTTCGTTGATTGAATTAACCGTATTTTGGTGATGAACAAATTCCAGCTGGCTGTTGCTGTTAAGCTACAACATATCACTGAGCAAAGATTTTCTAAATTGATGTACCAAAAATGTTGCAAATGGATTCTATACAATAAGTGGTGGTGACAAACAAAAGCAACCAAGCCATACAGATTAAACAATTAACGCTGCAGGCTGCCGGCCTGCTAATTGATAATGGAAATTGATTGCCCAATTCACGAAGACTGCAAACAATAGTTCGAAAACTAGTAAAATCCATGCAAGTAATGCATATCATTTTCGGTGGCGAAGTAATGCTATTTGTGATTCGCTGCAAAGAATTTATAGAAATTAATTAAGGCCAGTTTAAGCACAACAAAAATATTATCAAAAAAGTGACATAAATTTAAAAATGCATTTGAGCAGCTCGTAGTGGTGGAACCGCTGCAAAGTGATTGTAAATGAAAATGCAGGCGCACAACAATACAATCTGGATTTTCCAAAAACATTTTCCCCTATTAGATATAAAGTGCTAAGCCCACACACTGCCAAGCTACCAAAATGTGCACAGCTGTACAAATTTTCATCGTATCGAATTTTCCCCCCTGAAGGTGGTTAAATCATGCAATACAGGGGATGCGCTGGCTAGCGGATAAGCTGGTTTTTCCAAAGCACATCAAAAATTTCAAAAAAATGATTACATACATATGTATGCATAAAGCGCTATGCAGAAATTGCTTGCAGATCGTGTAAGCGCAGAACGACGAGTCAGTAGCGGTGGCGGTGGTGTCAGCAGCAGCATCGCATCGCATGTAATCATCCCCCTCATAAGCACTCAGCAGTTACTACAAAGGAGGGTTGTAGCAGCATACAATTCAATGCACGTGAAATTTACAAATGTACATATAACCACACGTTTTAAGAGTCGCCTGATCAGTGCATTCAATGAAACAAAAAGCATTCAAAAAACTGCACGCTAGCAAACAGCTGCGTCCCGCTGTCCGCACCATCAAGCCAGCTATGTAGTTGATGTGCCCATGGAAGCGCCTAGGTTGTGGTGGTGAGTTGATGTTGAATCACTTGTACGACACGAATCTTTGCCTTTTTTTAAAGCATGCATGTATGTACATATATATGTATGTTTATTTGTTAGAAAGTATGCATACAATTCGAACTTGCAGTAATATGACGATCGATATAACAACCCCTTTGTGCATTTTTAAACGTTTCGCTGTGAAGGAACAGTGTGTTGTATTGCCGCAAAGATTGATTGAATAGAAATTTTAATACTTTCTAAATTTATTGAAACTTTAAGCCACTGGTTTCAAGATATTTGCTCACTCCAAAGTGGTAAAAAACGTTTCTAAACTAAATGGTGGAATCATGTATCCTTGATATTCTGAAATCAGTGTCACCCTGAGGAACAAGTTTTCAATGTGAACCCCGAAATTTTGTCCAATTCAATATTTCATTTGTTTATTTCTTGCTTTGATTCGGCTTTAACCGTCATCGGTGGGATTACAAAAGTGTTATATGAGCCAAGCGTAGAAAAAATAAATACTCCAATGAGGCGGATAATGCGTTCAAAGTAATTTCCTTTCACCATTTAAATAAGCAAAAACCTGTGGAGGACTTGTCTTAACTCTCTAAACGCGTTTCATGCTATCAAATCAGCTAATTGCAGTTTTCACCTCTCTTAACCGCAACCATTTCAATAAGAAAAACTAAAAATAAAGCGTTAAAAACGATATAGAAAAATAAAATAAATTTAAAAAAAATGCCTAACTAAAGCCACTGTGCTATGCTTCACTTTCAAGTGCACTGGCGTTTGCCAACGAACAATGGATGGACACAAAGTAAGGCTACACTATAATTATCTGATTTTACAAACAACTATTTTATACATAGTCCATAGTCGGCTCAAGCACAATAACGTGGCGAGTTTGATTTTTTCTATATATTGTATTTTTTTAGGATATTCTATAGTGATTATTTTTTTAGTATATTGGCAATCGCTCTTGTGTTATAAGCGTGCTTTGTTTTCGAACTTCATTATATGTTTCCTTTTCTTGCATTTTCTCTAACCGGAAATGATTTCAAATCATTAAAATCACATATCCTGAACTCATTTAAAAGCGAAGGCTTTACACAACGCCTACGCAGCCGTTTATAAGCAGAAATAGACCGACAAAAATGTACAACTACGGAAATGCTCATGCGCACAAAGAACTTATAACGGTTGGAAAAAGCAGAAGGGATCAAATATTTAAGCGACGATAAACCACAAAGCTAATATATATTTATAATGAAAAGAAGGTGTGTTTGCAGCAATCAGGCTTTGGTAAGCGGTTTGTGTAGAGTTTTAACTGATTTTATTTTCTTTTTGTACTAAAAAATCAACCAATCCTAACTTAGGGTGGATTGTCGAAATCTTTGATATCCATATATGCACTTTTTAGACGCCTACAACTGTAACAAAGCAAAAAACTAGCTGGCAAGCAATCGAACGACCGTTAAAAACCATAAAAGCATAACGAAAGACACTCATAGCTAAAAATCGATAGCATGATAGCGTGAAATATTAGTTTCCTGCATTTATAACGAATATTTATAGAAATAATACAAGCATATACATACACACTATGATTGTAAAAAGTCGTAGCATATAAAATAAACTAAATAAGGCACTATGCATTTCCATAACTGCGAGGCATGTTCAATCAAGCGTTACAAGGTAGGGTAATATAATTCCCACGCTTACAATTTACACTGCAAAGGAGGGTGTTAAAATTAAGTAATTTTCTTGTAGTATATTGAAAATGCGGTATCAATAATATTTGAACGTTATGCTGTCGCTAAAGCACAAGTACAGCATTTGATAGCAAGTGAAAAATAACTTATTTCGAAATATATTTTCCCACACATCAGTCCAACATCCAAGTCGACATACTGATAAAGGAAATTCTCTTTCGTATTAAGAACATAATTACGGGCTTGAGTGAACACATTAAAGGAAATGAAAGAGCCTGACTTGCGTTGTAACAATAATGTTTGCTGCATTATATATAAATGCTTCTATAAGTAAATGCATGAATTAAGATTTAAAGTTTTGTTTGTATTACTAACCTGTAATTTTCGGTTGACGCTTGCGCAATGGCGATCTGCCAGCAGCACTACCATCATGCGCACGCTTTTTACCACTACCACCACATCGCTCTGCGTCGGGTACTTTGAACACCAGCGACTCATCCTGTGAGTCATAATCGCCGCAGGAATCTGTATCGGTCGATATGGACGTGTTGATCATATAATTTTCACGTTCTGCCCGCTCATCCATTAGCAAATCGGCGCTACATGGTACCACTGGTGCTGGACGTACATGTGCGGCACGTGTTAGCGTATAGACTTCGGGTGCAAATGTGGATTCCTGATAGGAGATGCGCTCCCAAACGAATTGGGTATTAGTGGTAAGCGGTGATCCGTTGCGAAAATCGAAGCCCCATTTTTTGATAGCGTGCTCCTGATGTTTATCCAATTCCTCGGCGAATGTTCTGTGAGTGAAGAGAATTTTTCATTTAATTTAAATTAAGTTGCTAATATACTGGTGGCAGAAATAATAGAATCGCCCTATTTTGACCAGTTTTAGCTTATTTAATGTTCAATATTTTTATATAAAAGTCTAGATACAACAAACACCCTATAAATGCACAATTCAAAATTTATAAAAAAAATTATAAAACTTCAACAATTTTTCTGTAAAATTTCAAACTTTGTCTTCATATTATTATAAAGTGCAAACTTCAAGCCGCTACAAGTCAGCGTTGATTTTGAGTAATTTTTTTTTTGCTGACGGTGTTACGCATTTTCTTCCATACAAAAGGTTTGTTCGTCGAGCAAAAAATTTGTACGAATTTGTACGAATTATCACGATTTTTGCCCAAATCGCGTTCGTGCAGACCAAAAAATTATCCAACACTCAAAAATTGTGAGAGCAAAGTGACAGTTCTCTTGGAGAGAAGTTGCAAATTCTTGCTGGAAAAAATTTTGCCAGCAAGAATTTGCAAACACGAAAAACATGTGGTTGTGGCGCATGGTTGCATTTTTGTCTACAATAATTTGAATAAA